AAAGAGAAAGGGTGCTCCCATCTGTCAGGGTGGACCAAAGCCAAAGCTGTGAGCAGGGAACTCAACTCAGGGCTCTCACGTGGGTGGCAGGGACCCAACTGCTTGAGCCGTCACCACTGCCTCCCAAGGTCTGCATTGGCAGGAAGTTGGAATCAGGACTAGGGACTCCAGCGTGGGACAAGGTTCTCACCTGGTGTCTTTACCGCAGTATCGCGGGGACTCCAGCATGGGACACCAGTTCTCACCTGGTGTCTTTACCGCATATCGCGGGGACTCCAGCGTGGGACACCGGTTCTCACCTGGTGTCTTTACCGCATATCGCGGGGACTCCAGCATGGGACACCAGTTCTCACCTGGTGTCTTTACCGCATATCGCAGGGACTCCAGCGTGGGACACCGGTTCTCACCTGGTGCCTTCCACTAGGCCGAACCCCAGCTCCGATCTGATGTTTTGGAAGTCATTGTAAAAGCATTATTAACTGCATTTCTCAGCTGTTCATTGCTTTTGCTTCAGTAGGATGACTCTGGCTACTGTGCTGAGTGTGAATGTCAGAACAAGGGCAGGAGGAAGGCCAGTTAGGAGACCAAGGCAATGATTAGGCGTGGATGTGGCTGGCATCGGGCAGCGGCAGTGCTGGGTGGCATCAAGGAGAGATCAGTTTTCTGACGGATGGGACATCAGGTGTGAAAGAAAAGTCAAGGGTAACCGGGCCCGCGGGAAAGGTGGAGTTGCCGTTAGCTGAGTGCTTTGTAGAAGACCAGTCATGGCCGGCGCCGTGGCTCACTAGGCTAATCCTCCGCCTGTGGCGCCGGCACCCCGGGTTCTAGTCCCAGTTGGGGCACCAGATTCTGTCCCGGTTGCTCCTCTTCCTGTCCAGCTCTCTGCTGTGGCCCGGGAGTGCAGTGGAGGATGGCCCAAGTGCTTGGGCCCTGCACCCCATGGGAGACCAGGAGAAGCACCTGGCTCCTGGCTTCAGATCAGCGCAGTGTGCCGGCTACAGCAGCCACTGGGGGGTGAACCAACAGAAAAGGAAGACCTTTCTCTCTGTCTCTCTCTCTCACTGTCCACTCTGCCTGTCAAAAAAAAAAAGGAAAAAGACCAGTCAGAGGTGCAGAAGAAGCCATGGCACAGATGAGACCAGGGCTCAGGGTGAGGTCCGGGGTCTGAGTGGAAAGAGCGTGCCTCAGGTGTGGACATATGGGCCAGAAGAGCGTGCCTCGGGTGTGGACATATGGACGGGAGGAGTGTGCCTTGGGTGTAGACATATGGGTGGGAGGAACATGCTTAGGGTGTAGACATATGGACGGGAGGAGTGTGCCTTGGGTGTAGACCAGGAAGGAAAGAGGCCCAAAGCCTGCGCCCCGGGGGCAACCCAGCATTAAGGGATAGGGGTCCAAGGGGCCTCAGCCAAGGACAGGGAAGGAGCAGTCTGGGAGGCAGCAGAGACCAGGAGAGGGTGAGGGGCTGCCCACTGGGGAAGGGAGGTGTGGCAAGGAGGAGGAGTGGTCAGCCTTGTCCGATGACGTGACGATGGCAGGACGAGTCCCTGGTCCCAAGAACTGACCACGGGATTTGCCCTGAGTCCCAAGAACTGACCACGGGAGTTGGGAATGTGCGTCACTGTGATTGGCCCAGGCAGAGCCGCAGCCCAGCAGGAAGGGGCTCCAGAGGAAGTGGGAGGGGCCGGCGCTGTGGCACAGCAGGTTAAAGCCCTGGCCTGAAGCGCCAGCATCCCACATGGGCCCCGGCTCTAGTCCCGGCTGCTCTTCTGATCCAGCTCTCTGCTGTGGCCTGGGAAAGCAGTGGAAGATGGCCCAAGTGCTTGGGCCCCTGCACCCGTGTGGGAGACCTGGAGGAGGCTCCTGGCTTCGGATCAGCGCAGCTCCGCTGTTGCAGCCATCTGGAGAGTGAACCATCGAACGGAAGACCTCTCTCTCTCTCTCTCTACCTCTCTCTGTAACTCTGTCTTTCAAATAAAAATAAATCTTAAAAAAGAGAGAGAGAGAGAGAAAGGGAGGAGTAGACCGTGCTTAGGGCGGCGGGGGTGGGGTGGGGTGGGGTCCCACAGAGCGGCTGTAAGGAAAGGCGGGTACTTTATAAAGGAAAGGGGCCTACTGTGGAGTCTGAAAGCCCAAGCCCCGGTGGTGCCATCTGTCCCCCTTCTCCTGAAGGCCTCGTTGCAGATGGCACCAGGACAGGAGTGCAGGCCACAGCGACCGCCTGCAGAGACAGGAAGCTGGGGAGGGCAGGTGAGGTCCTGGAGCTCACAGTGCACGGTCTCAAAGAGGGGCCGGCTCCCCGCTTCCTGTGCTTGTGTGCTGAGGGCTCACAGGACCCTCTAACAAAGTGTCGGCCCCAGGAGCGGGTAGGGGGGCTGGCTGTGTCTGACCCACTGAGAATCCCTCGTATGTAGACGTAGGAGCCACCTGCTGCTTAGACAGTCCCCTGGTTTCCCTGTGGCAGATGCACGAAGTAGCCTCGGTGTCAACCTCTTTTTTTTCTATCTATTTATTTGATAGGCAGCGAGAGATCTTCCATCTGCTGATACACTCCCCAAATGGCCACAACAGTCAGGGCAGGGCCAAGCCAAAGCCAGGAGCCAGAACTCCGCCCAGGTCTCCAAATGGGTAGCAGGGGCCCAAGCGCTTGGACCATCTGCTGCTGCCTTCCCGGATACATCAGCAGGGAACTGGACTGGAAGCAGAGCAGCCCAGACGCTAACTGGCGCTCTGATGTGGGATGTTAGTGTTGCAGGCTTTGGCTCAACCTGCTGCACCACAGCGCCTGTCCCCATGTCGGTCTCTGGACAGACACACTTCCTCAGGAGCGAGACAGCTTTCATCCACCAGTGATGCACGCAGGAGGCATGCAGGGCCCGTGTTCTTTGACCGTTGGCACTCACAGCCACACCCCAGTGGGGGGCATTCATGGCCACGGCTGTCTCGTCTAACGTGCACTTCCACGGGTGCCTCGGTTTGTGCACAGCTGTTCGCACGCAGAACCGTGTCACATGACCCGTGAAGGAAAGCACCTGGATCGTGCACTGGCCCCTAGGCGGGAGGAGTCAGGCAAAGCGAGCACACGGGAGAGGCAGGCGCCGGCAGCAAGTGCCGTCAGCTGCGGTAGGCAGAGTGGACAGTGAGAGAGAGAGAGAGAAAGGTCTTCCTTTTCTGTTGGTTCACCTTCCAATGGCCACCGCGGCTGGCGCACCGCACTGATCTGAAGCCAGGAGCCAGGTGCTTCTCCTGGTCTCCCATGGGGTGCAGGGCCCAAGCACTTGGGCCATCCTCCACTGCCCTCCCTGCCCCGGCCCGCGGGGTAATCAACTAGGACACGAGGAGGGCAGACCTGAATGGAGAGACAAACCAGACATGAGAAGGGAGACCAAGACAGTACTCTGATCAAGGTCTCACTTTATTGGAGAAGGAGGTCGCTTATATAGTACAAGGCGAGGATTGTAACAGTCGAGGGTAAGCAGGGGTCATCTTACAACATAGATCAAAGGAATAATTTCACAGGAATCAGTATCAGTTTGACAAAGGGAGTTACAGCGAGGTCTTACAGCTACCAGACGGGTTTATCCAGGTACAATAAAGAGAGCACTGAAGCCAAATGGCCAAGCGCTAACCATATCAGTGAGCTGTACAAATGGAATTTTCTAGTGAATCCTTCTTACAGGAACACAGTTGAAGGTTAGCCTAAACAAAGGCCTATACAGGGAAACCAGCACAGTGGCTCCTGGCACTCCCGGGCCACAGCAGAGAGCTGGCCTGGAAGAGGGGCAACCGGGACAGAATCCGGTGCCCCGACCGGGACTAGAACCCGGTGTGCCGGCGCCGCAGGCGGAGGATTAGCCTATTGAGCCGCGGCGCCGGCCTGCTGCGTTTTTTTTTTTTAAGTCATTGTGAAAGTGCCAAGGATTGCATTTCACACGTGGTCGTGGTTTTAAGGTTTTTTTTGTTTTGTTTTTGAGGCAGTTAGAGAGTGAGAGGCAGAGAGAGAGAGAGAGAGAGAGAGAGAGAGAGAGAGAGAGAGAGAGAGAATCTTCTATCTGCTGGTTCACTCCCCAAATGGCCACAACAGCCAGAGCTGGGCCAGTCCGGAGCCAGGAGCCAGGAGCCAGGAGCTTCTTCCTGGTCTCCCATGTAGGTGCAGGGGCCCAAACACTTGGGCCATCTGCTGCCTTCACAGGCCATCAGCAAAGAACTGGATCAGAAGTGGAGCAGCTGGGACTCAAACCGGCACCCATATGAGATGCTGGCACTGCAGACAGCAGCTTAACCCACTGCACCACAGTGCTGGCCCTTAAGGACACTCTAAGAGCTCCTGCCCCCAGGCCCAGGGGCAGGGCCCTCCCACCACCTGGGCTCTCAGGACAGGTTGAGCCGCTCGCCATGCCCTCTAGGGACAGCCCCGCTGGCTCCGCTCTGCTTCCCCTGCCCGGTCTCTGCGGCCAGCTCCTACGGCCCGCCTCGGCTCGTATCAGCGCTCCGCTTACAGTGCTGCCTGGGTTCTGGGGCTGAGGTCTGCCCCATCCCACATCTCCTGTAAGTGTGTGGTTCCTATGGCTGGCGCCGCGGCTCACTAGGCTAATCCTCCGCCTTGCGGCGCCGGCACACCGGGTTCTAGTCCCAGTTGGGGCGCCGGATTCTGTCCCGGTTGCCCCTCTTCCAGGCCAGCTCTCTGCTGTGGCCAGGGAGTGCAGTGGAGGATGGCCCAGGTGCTTGGGCCCTGCACCCCATGGGAGACCAGGAAAAGCACCTGGCTCCTGGCTCCTGCCATCGGATCAGCGTGGTGCGCCGGCCGCAGCACGCTGGCCAAGGCAGCCATTGGAGGGTGAACCAACGGCAAAGGAAGACCTTTCTCTCTGTCTCTCTCTCTCACTGTCCACTCTGCCTGTCAAAAAAAAAAAAAAAAAGTGTGTGGTTCCTACTGGGTGATTGCACAGGAAGTGGTGAGGAGCAGGGTGGGGGGAGGGGGGGACAAGCGAGGACGCAGCATCTCAGGGGGCTGGCACCGGAGCAGGGACAGTTCCTTCCCCAGGTCCAGCAGAGAGGCCTCCAGGTGCTGCTTCTGTCGTCAGATGCGTTCTGTTCCACGCACACCTGGATGGTACCCTCTCCTCAGCCCCGGCGCCCCCGGCCCCACACGCTGGTAGCTCGGGCTGCCTTGCAGACCAGCAGTTACCAGATTTTCAGAAATACTGGGAGAAGGAAGACTTAAACTTTAGGAGAAGTTGAAACAACTGTTAAATGTACTCATTTGAGACGTGGTGGAAGGAAGGGGGCGCTCTCGTCTGCCTGCAGTGGAGCCAGGCCTGGGCCAGGCTGAGGCCAGGTGTCCTGTGGGTGGCTGGGACCCCCACCACCAGAGTCGCCACCGCTGCCTCCCGGGCTCTGCACCAGCAGGAGCCGCAGCCTGGAACGCAGCCCAGGTCCTGGGGTCTGGGCTGCCGGCATCCTAACCACGGCTAAGTGGGCTGTCTTTCCCGTGCACCCAGACAGACTTAGCATTCCTGTTCTGGGCAGTGCACTAGCCGGGTGGGACAGAGCTCCTGCCGCATGGCACGGGCCCTGGGTGGGAGGAGGGGCTGTCTGTTGGGGGGCTGCACAGGAGAGCAGGGCCTCGGAGGTGGGCGTGTCCAAGAAAGGGGAGGAGCCTCTTTGCTTCTGTGCTGCCTGAACAAGCCTCCCCACTCCACACCCCCCAGCAAACAGTGCCGCTGGGAGGACTCTGGTCTGCTGCCCCGTGGCTGGGAAAGCAATGGTGGGCACAGGTGCCGGCCAGGCTCTCAGCATCAAAGCTCCCCGGGTTCACAGGGAGCACCTGGCCAAAGATTTCCTCATACAGATGGAGAAACTGGGGCCCAGAGAGGGGCAGCCACTTGTCCAACGTCACAAAGCACATTGGCGGAGAGCTGGGAGGCAGCTCTTCCCAGCCTGGGCCCGGCAGCCTCCCCCTGGTGGCCAGACACCTGCTTCTCGTGGGTCACAGGAACCTGCCGCCCAGGCCTGCCCACGGTGCTGGGGACTCAGAACCGAGCCAGGCTTGGTTCAGCTCAAAGGGACCATGAAGGGGGCCCAGCAGTGAGTTCTGTCACGTGGTAGTGGAACGAGCAAAGAACGAACAAGCGTGCGCACCCAGGAACACAGCGAGAGGCCCTGCCTCTGCCTGGGGAAGGCAGGAGGGCCTCCCGGCAGAGGGGGCAGGGCAGCTGGCATTTGAAGATGGGTAGGAGACTCCAGACAGAGGAAATGACGTCAGCACAACACAGAGCAAGAGTAAGATGGAAAGTGAATCAGAAAAGTGTCAGCTCGTCTTTCAAGGCCATGTTTTGGGCCGGGTCCGGTGCCGGCGGTTTCTCGTTGTTCAGCCATTTGCCCCTCCCTCCAGCCACGGGCTCTTCCCACCCCTGCCTGTCCGAGAAGCGGACAGGTGCCTGGCGAGTTAGTGCAGTGAGCGGTGGGTCGTGTGGAAGTGAGGGGGGTGCGGGGCCGCCCCGACCACCCCTGCGCCCCGCACAGGTGCAGACACTCCACGGGGACCTGCTGCAGCACATGGAGAAGAACACCAAGCTGGACATGCAGTTTATCAAAGTGAGTCCGGCCTGCGGAGGGGGCCGCCCCTCGCCGTCCCACAGGCGGGCACTCGTGCTCCAGGCTGGCCCCTGCCTCCCCGCCCTCCCCCAGGACAGCCGCCAGCACTACGAGATGGAGTACCGCCACCGCGCGGCCAACCTGGAGAAGTGCATGTCTGAGCTGTGGCGCATGGAGCGCACGCGGGACAAGAATGCGCGGGAGATGAAGGTGCGGGGGGCTGGGGGCGGGGCCCAGCGGGCACCCCTGAGACCCCTCCCCCACCCCCGCCAGCCTCTGGTGGGGTGGGCAGCGCCGCTCCTTGCCCACAGTCCCAGCACCTCCTCCCCCTCCTGCACTGGGAAGGTTGAATTTCCCCTGCCGCCGCTCCTGAACGTGGCAGCAGAGGTGTTGTCCACCAGCCCAGCCCCCGCCCCCAGCCCAGAGGCCCATGTGAGCGGAGCCTCCGTCTTCAGATTCTCTCCTTTTTGGCTCGGGACTGGCCCTTCTACTCAGCCATACTTCCATTAAACCAACCTCCCTGGCCCCACCTCTGTGTTTGGGCCTCTGCTGGGCACCCGCCCTGCCTGTGCGGAGTGCCCAGGCCAAGGGCACGCTGGGCCCAGACTCACGGGGGTGAGGATGCCCACGAAGGAGCAGCCTCAGGGTCTCGGGGGAGGCCTCCAGGAGGAGGTGGGGCAGGAAGGGCAGGAGGCTTCGGACCTGTGGTACCTGTGGGGGGTGGGACGGGACACTCAGCCACTGCCCCCGGCCAGAACTCCCTGTCCCCCAGGAGAGCGTGAACCGGCTGCACGCCCAGATGCAGGCCTTCGTGTCCGAGAGCCAGCGGGCAGCCGAGCTGGAGGAGAAGCGGCGCTATCGCTTCCTGGCCGAGAGGCACCTGCTGCTTTCCAACACCTTCCTGCAGTTCTTCGGCCGGGTGAGTGGGGCCGGGCAGGAGCCCCTCTGGGCTGCGCCGCCCTGAGCCCAGGAGTCCCCTCCCTTCCTCCCTGTCCCCCCTCAGTGTAGAAATGCATTTTTTTCACTCTCCACCTATTCTTTATATCGCCATTCCTGTGTTTCTTTGTATCAGCATATACTCATTCATTCATAATTTTCTGTGCATTCACTAATTCAGGTTTATTCATGGTTGAGTCCTTTAGTTTTCTCGTTCCTGGACACCTATGGTCACCATTCACAAATTCATTAATTCTTAAGTTTATTCAGTTATTGTCTGTTAATTTTATCATGTTTCAGAAATCTTTTATGCTCTTGCTTTGTTCTGTTAGAGCATTTCTCACTGGCTTTCTTTTTTTGTTAGATTTTTATTTATTTATTTGAGAGGCAGAGTTACATTGGGAGAGACAGAGAGGTCTTCCATCCTCTGGTTCACTCCCCGAAAGGCCGCAATGGCAGAGCTGGGCCAGTCTGAACCCAGGAGCCAGGAGCTTCTTCTGGGTCTCCCATAGCAGGTGCAGGGGCCCAAGCACTTGGGCCACCTTCTACTGCTTTCCCAGGCCACAGCAGGGAGCTGGATCGGAAGTGGAGCAGCCAGGACTCGAACAGGTGCCCACATGCAATGCCAGTGCTGCAGGCAGAGGCTTAGTCTTCTCACCACACAGCGCCAGCCCCTCTCATTGGCTTTGCTTTCTGTACTTAGCTACCATGTTATCTGGTGCCTTGGAGTTTGTGATTATCCTGGTTCCATAAATGTTGCTATTGTGTGCTTAATGTCCCTCTTAATCCAGTCTGATGATCGGAATTAGTGTTCCCGCCTCCTCCTTTCTTTTTTTTTTTTTTTAATTTTTATTTTTGACAGGCAGAGTGGACAGTAAGAGAGAGAGACAGAGAGAAAGGTCTTCCTTTTGCTGTTGGTTCACCCTCCAATGGCCACCGCGGCCGGCGCATCGCGCTGATCCAAAGGCAGGAGCCAGGTGCTTCTCCTGGTCTCCCATGGGGTGCAGGGCCCAAGCACTTGGGCCATCCTCCACTGCACTCCCTGGCCACAGCAGAGAGCTGGCCTGGAAGAGGGGCAACCGGGACAGAATCCGGCGCCCTGACTGGGACTAGAACCCGGTGTGCCGGCGCCGCTAGGCGGAGGATTAGCCTAGTGAGCCGCGGCGCCGGCCCTCCTCCTCCTTTCACTTCCCTCTGAAAGGCTGTGGTACACAGCTGAGTTCTGGGTTCTGACCGAATTAACATCCGTTCCTACTCAGCACAGCCACTGCCGTCGCTGGGTCTCATTCCTTCTCCGTGAAGTGACTCCACTTTGATACCCCCCACCCCATTCTCAATCCCGTCGGTCTGGCTAAGTCGCCGCGTATCCCCCTGATTAATTTGGAAGCTCTGTGCCTGTGTAGAGGGTGACCTCACTTTGTGACTCTCATGATCACAACACACATGTCCACCTTTACATACCTATATAAAGATACATGTGTCCACCCCCCCCACACACAATCACTCCCCCAGCCCCTAAGACGTGACCTGGAGAAGCGTCCGCCTGTTCTTCCTGCCGGCCCCGGGTGAGGCCTCTGCAAAGATTTCTGTCTTCCTTTCTCACCCCTCTGCCTCTCGCTGCTGGCTTTGCTTCCAGGTCCCCGCTGGTCCCCTCACTGCAGTCTGACCCTGAGTTTTAGGATCCTCACTTAGCTTGCCTACAGCGCCACCGCCCGGTGCCCGACACCTGCCCATCCCCCCCACTGTGCCATCCTCCACTGTCTGGTGCCCGTCACCTGCCCACCCCCCACCGTGCCATCCCCCACTGCCTGGTGCCCGTCACCTGCCCGCCCCCCACCGTGCCATCCCCCGCTGCCCGGTGCCCGTCACCTGCCCACCCCCCCACCGTGCCATCCCCCGCTGCCCGGTGCCCGTCACCTGCCCACCCCCCCACCGTGCCATCCTCCACTGCCCGGTGCCCGTCACCTGCCCACCCCCCCACCATGCCATCCCCCACTGCCCGGTGCCCATCATCCGCCCCCCCCTACCGTGCCATCCCCCGCTGCCCGGTGCCCTCACCCACCCCCGCACCGTGCCATCCCCCGCTGCCTGTGCTGACTGCCGATGGGTTGAGAGCCTCTCTGAACCTCGTGTGCCTGAGCGTGGCCTCCCCTGCACTAGAGGCGCTGTGGCCTTCTCTCCCGGCCCCCGACTCCTGCTCCTGCACTGCAGGTGCACGGTGGCCCTGGAGACTCGCCCTGGACCCCTGGGCCCGGCACTCGCCCATCCCTCTGTGAACCTCCAGGTCAGGGTGCTGGCTGCGGGCCCCAGCGTTTCTTTGGGGCGAGAGCATTATTTTTCCCTTCCTGTCCCTCGCCGGAGCGCGTACCCTGCGGGCTCCCCACCACTCCCACCTCATTTATCCCTGCTCCGAGACTCCACTCAGCAGGCCGTCCTCTTAGTGTGCTCGCATTTAAATCTTGAAACCATGTCTTGTCTGGCTGCAGAGGTCCTTGTCAGGCAGCATGCGCTTCCCAAGTTCACGTTCGGGGCACCTCCCCCAGCCGCCCAGGGCGCTGCGCTGGGCTCTGCTCCCTGACCCCCGCAGCTCTCCGGTGCCCCTTGTGTCCCCGCTCCAGGCTGAGTGAGCACCAAGCCTCTGGCAGTGGTGCAGGACATGGGGGAGGGGCAGAGGGGGCCATCTGCACCCCAGCGGGCAGCCTCAGCCCTCGGGCAGTCCTGGAGCAGGGGACAGCTGCTGCTGACAGGGCCCCTTGGGGAGGTTGTGCAGGTTGCGCACTGCGTAACGGAGCCGGGTCAGCAGGAGGGGCATTTAGCACAAGGCCTGGCACAGTAGTGCTCAACACAGGGAAGCTTTTTCTTGTTCCTGAGGCGGCTGTCCTGAGCTGGGCCGGGGGAGGGACTTTGCCATAGAAACGGAGAGGTCTGTGAGGTCTGTGTGTCTGGGGAGCAGTGTTTTGGTTGTCTGTGGGATTTGATTTATGGAGGTGACTGACTGACAGCACAGAGCCCAGTGCCAGTGGAGTTTTATTACTTACCACGCCCAAGAGAGGGGAGCGCACCCCCCCCGGGGGTCTGGTGAGAGGCAGAAAGGGGGTGGGGTGCAGGGGACCTCCCATGTCAAAGTGCCCGTCGGAGCCCCGTCCAGCTCCCTGCTGATGGCCTGGAAGGCAGTGGATGGTGGCCCGAGTGCTTGGGGCCCTGCACCCGTGTGGGAGACCTGGCTGGAGCTCTGGGCTCCTGGCTGCGGCCTGACCCAGCCCTGGCTGCTGCGACCATCTGGGAGTGAACCAGCCGATGGGGGCCCTCCCTCCTCCCCTCTCTCCCTCCCTATCACTCTGCCTTTCAAGTAAATGAAATAAATCTTTAAAAGAAGAAGAAAGCCGAGCCCAGTCCTCTGCCGTGGTTTGCACGGGACTGGGCAAGGCAGGGTGGGCGAGCGAGCAAGGTGGGAAGTGGACACTCAGTCGGTCAGGGCCGCTGCGTCTCCGGCTGTCCAGTCCCTGGCCTGGGGTGGCTCGGCGTGGGGGGCTGCTGGTGTCCCAGAGCAGGAGAGCAGGCGTGGGGCGGGGGCTGTACACAGCAAAGACAGGCCCCCAGCAAGCTGTCCTATGCCGGGAGGGGCACGAGCTCCGGCTCCGCAAAGCCACAGGATGAGGAAGCATCAAGGAGATAAACGGCGTGATTAACACACTGACCCCAGGCCGCTGCAGCCAGCAGGGCGGGGCTCGTGCAGCCTGCGGGCCTGGCCTGGGAGTGGGTGTGCAGAGGCTCCTCTGGAGACAGGCACCAGGACTTGAACTTGAGCTGTTCCTGCTTCAGCTAACGGCAGGTCGAAGGTCAGGTGTAGCTGGAGCCAACAGACGCGGTCAGAGCCGTGCCGCGGGCCTGCTTAGCTCTGGCTTCTAGTGTTGGCCTCACTCTACCGTTTAGCAAACGCCATGAGGCCGAAGAATCGGCTTCTTCCAGATTGTTCCCAGGAGGCCGTGGATGCCGCCCCTCCCCTCGCAGCTGGGCGGGGAGGACAGCCCCGCCCAAGGCACCCTGCTGGGGAGGGTGGGCGGCGAGCCCGGACACCACTCCTGGGAACCCAGGCCTCCGGGGCTGCTGAGACCTCGCTGACCCTGGTGCCCCTCCCCCCAGGCCCGGGGGACGCTGCAGAACCGCGTGCTGCTGTGGAAGGAGCAGTCGGAGGCCAGCCGCGGCCCGTCGCGCGCCCACTCCCCGGGCCTGCTGGGCCCTGTGCTGGGGCCGCCCTACCCCTCGGGCCGCCTGACGCCCACCCGCCTGGACATGGTGAGGCCCTGGGCGCCCCCGCCGCCGTTCGCGCCCCCGGCACCCTTCGCGGGGCCCTGGGGCCTCACGGCCCCCGCCTGGAGCCTCCCTATCCCTGGCCTCCCGCTCTACGCCGCGCCCCTCGGCCCGCCCTGGCGCCCCGGCGCGGCCTCGACGCCGCCCTGGTGGCCCGGCCGGCGACCCCGCAGCCCCTACGCCGCCGCCTGGGACTGGGGTTGGGGGCAGGACTAGCGCGCGGCCCCTCCCCGCCCCACCTCCCCGCCCTCTCCCCCCCCAGCCCCAGCGGCCTCTGGGCGACTTCGGCGCCCCCCGCAGCCGGCACGGCTCGGGCTCCTATGGTCCCGAGCCGGCCGCCGAGGCGAGGTCCGCGTCGCAGCTGGAGCCAGCGCGCCGGCCCCTGCCCCGGACGCCGTCGACCGGTGAGTGCCCGCGCCGGGCCGTCGGGCCGCCGGGGGAGACCGCGGGGCGGCCAGGGGGAGTCCCGGCCGAGCTGGCCACCCACGCGCCCCGCGCCGCCCCGCAGCCTCGCTCTACGGCGGCGGCGCCCGGAGGGTGCGCGCCCTGGTGTCCCACTCGGAGGGCGCCAACCACACGCTGCTGCGCTTCTCGGCGGGGGACGTGGTGGAGGTGCTGGTGCCCGAGGCGCAGAACGGCTGGCTCTACGGCAAGCTGCAGGGCTCGTCCGCGTGAGTGGGGCCCCGGGTCTCGCACCCCGACCTCGGGTTCCTGCCTGCTCGCCGCGGGTAGCTAGAGCCTCTTCCCCCAACCCCCTTAAAAATGAGGATTTGAAAGGCAGTTTTCCATCGGCCGGTTCGTCCCGGTAAGCCCTCGGGCTGGGCGAGGCTGCAACTCCACCCACCTCGCCCGCGATGGATGGGGCAGGGGCCCCAGCACTGGGGCTGCCTCCCCGCTCTCCCAGGCCGTCAGCGGGGAGCTGGTTGGGAAGTGGAGCAGCCGGAATCTCAACCTGCTGCACCGCAGAGCCGGCCCAGCGAGAGCCTGTTTCCAGTGCAGGGTGGTGGCCTTTGCCAGGTGGCCCGGGACAGGGGACGTCACAGAGCCCCTGTCACTTGGGCGCCTGCTGTGGTCTGTGTCCCCTCTGCCCGGAGCCGGTTGGCCGTGGCCTATGGCAGAGGGGCTTGGAGGGCAGGTGGCTCAATCTGCCCCCCTCCTTGCTGTCCTTAGAGACCCTAACCGGGCTGGGTGTGGGGCCCGGAGTGGAGGGGGAGATGGGGACATGGCAGGCACCAGGGAGCCCAGGAGAGCAGGCTTGGTGGCTAAAACGGGAGTGTGCAGGGACCACTCCCCAGAAAAAGAGGAAGGTGGGCACTTGCCGTGCCTGGCATCGAGGGGAGGGCGTGCGGGGTGGATGCCCAGCCCAGGGTGCACGGCTGTGGGTGAGTGGGGAGGGGCTGGGAGGATGTGCAGACGCAGGGTGCGTCCCTGGATTCCCGGGGACTGGGGCGGTGTGTGAGAGGGCTGGTGGGTGACGGGTGAGTTGGCGGTGCACAAGGCTGGTGGCCCCTGGGCGGTCACCCAGGTGGAGGACATAGGGCGAGTGGCGGCAGGAGTGGTGTGGCTGGGTCCATCATCAGGTGCATGGCTGGGCAGGTGACTGCAGGGACCGCGGTGGGGGCGAGGGCACGGGGCTGCTTGGTCCCACCCCGGCCGCGCTGTCAGTCTGTGACTCAGGCTCGGACGCGCGGGCTGAGTTTGTGGGCAGTGGGCGCCTGCGAGAGGAGACACCGGGCGCGGCTCCCCGTGGGTGAGGATGCTGGCGGCTCAGAGCCTCTCCTCCCGGGCCCCAGCTGTGTGGTGAGCCTCTGGGTCACGTAGGACCACAGGCTGGGCGGAGCCCAGTGACCCCATTCCTCTGGGCTCCGCCCGTGCCCCCCACAGCCACCCTTAGCTCGCTGTCTTGTCGTCATCTAATTTTTCTCCAAGAGACAGAGCTCTCAGTTGTTAGTTCGCTCCCCAAATACCTGCAGCAGCCAGGGCTGGGCCAGACAGAAGCCAGGAGCCAGGAACTCCATCCCTGCCTCCCACGTGGGTGGCGGGGACCCAGGACTTGAGCGCCCTCTGCTGCCTCCCGGGCGCAACAGCAGGAAGTTGGAAGCGGGAGCAGGGCTGGCACCCGGACAGTGGCCGCGGGCTTCCGAGGGGATCCGAGCCTGGGGGCTGCACTCCCCGCGCACTGCCTGTCCCCAGTTCCTCCTCTCTCAGGGGCCCAGCCCGGGAGGGACTCGAGGTTGGAGAGGCGGGTTGGGGTGAGGCCTCCTTCAGCCCGGCCCCCCGGCACGGCCCGGGCCTGCAGCCCAGTACCGTGTGCTCTTCCGCCGTGTTCCTCCGACCCCGACCCCCGCTCTGCCTGACGCGCCCCGCGCTCCCGCCCCCAGGAGCGGCTGGTTCCCCGAGGCCTATGTGAAGCCTCTGGAGGACGCGCCCTTGAGCCCCATGAAGCCCTTGAGCCCCATGACCTCCATGAACCCCGTGACCCCGGCGAATGAGCTCCCCTCCAGGTACCTGGGCAGGCGGGGTGGGGAGGCACCCGTGGGGTGCAGACGCGCGGGCCTGGCCGCCTGCGGTGTCCCCAACCCTGTACGCGGTGGTCACCGTGTCCATCCCTCTGCCCCGTCTTGGTGCTCTCTCAGACTCGGCCTCCCTGCCCTGGGTGCGGGGCAGGGGGTGTCGCGGAGGGGCGGGTGCCGTGGGGCGGGTGCCGTGGGGCCTGCCCAGCCCCCTGCCCTCTCCTGTCTCTGGACTCAGGTCCTACCCGCTCCGCGGCAGCCACAGCATGGACGACCTCCTGGACCGGCCGGGCAACGCCACGGCGTCCTTGGAGCTCTGGGACGGCCAGCCCCGCTCCCGGACCCCGAGCCGCGTCCCGAGCCCCGCGCCCACCCCTCTGCCTGGCAGCCGCCGGAGCAGCATGGGCAGCGTGGGGGCGGCCGGCGACGTCAAGGTGAGCCCCAGTGCAGCCTGGCTGAGCGGGCCGGGGTGGCGGGAGCCCAGGTCACCGCCCCGCCCGGCGCCCTGTGTGCAGGGCGGGGTGGGCTGCGGCCGAGGCTCCTCCCGTGGGGTCGCTTGGTCCCGGGAGGCGGCCTGTGGCCCAGGGCGGCTCAGATCTGAAACCGCAGACACTGAGCCCGCGAGGCCGGCAGGGCAGGAAGAGCCGGGCGCCCGCCCCCTGCCCCCCTAACCCGGACCCCCAACCCCCGCAGAAGCTGATGTCCTGGGAGCAGCACCCCCCGGAGCTCTTCCCGCGGTGAGCGCGCACGCAGGCGAGCCCCCCGGGGAGGGGTGACGGCGCGCACTGGGGCACTGGCCGGGCCACCGCCTGCGTCCCTCTCACCCCGCCTCTCTCCCCGCAGGGGCACGAACCCCTTTGCCACCGTAAAACTGCGACCCACGGTCACCAACGACCGCTCGGCACCGCTCATCCGCTGAGGCGTGCCTGCACCTGAAGGCCTGCGCCCGCCCCGGCGCTCCCAGCTGGCACAGGCGGCGGCGGCGGCTCCCGGAGGCCGGGCCCCACGCGCAGTGGCCGTCCTTGCCCACGGGCGCTGGCCCGGGGCCTTCAGAGTGAAGCGGGGGATCGGGCGGCAGGTGGGACTGTGCCTGAGAAGCAGCCCTGCGCCCCCCCAGCTGCCCCCCCCCGTCTCCGCCCCAGGGGGAGGAGCCCCCGTGTCCCACCCCCAACCCACACGTGTCCCCAATTAACTTTTGTAAACGGCGAGGAATAAAGGGAGTGGACGTGGAGGCAGGAATGGTGGCGTCTGATTTGGGAAACAAAGCCGGGGGGGGGGGCTGGGGCTGGAGACCCCCCCAACAGAATGGACCTGCCGGTCCTGAAGGCCACAGCTGTTCCCTAGGAGCCCCCTCAGGCTGCAGCCCCCCCTCCACCCCCACGACCCAGGAGGCGGAGGCCACTCCCGGGTGGGGGCGGGGGTGGGGGCTGAGGCCCAGGACCCCAGCGGGTGCCCTCGGGAGGCCGGGACACAGCACCCTTTGTTCGCGCCTCCACCCCCACGTGCCCAGGCTCTCAGGCCTGGATTAGCCTGATCCCGGGAAAGCCACGGAGCCCCTCCTGGAATGCGGCCGGGGTGGGGGCTTTGAGGTGATCAGAGACCTGGTGGGGTTTTCCCTGCACGGGGCTGGGCCCCCAGCACCATGCTAGGAGCCCCCCACCCGGGCAGGACCCCCCCTGTCCCAGGCTGGGCTCCCAGAGGTCAAGGGGTCTCCTAGCCCTCGTGGGACAGGCCCAGGACACGGAGCCCCATCGTGGGGGCCCAGCCGGGCCCTTCCCTTTCCTGGGCAAAAGCCGCTTAGTGGGGGGGGGGGCACCGTGCCTGCCCGCCGCCCGGGGGAGGGGCAGCGGGCCAGAGTCCTGCCTGCCTGAGCCCCAGACACCGGCACCAGCTTCTCCCTGCAGGCCTCGGGCGATGTGAGGCGGCACCCCGGACCACAGGCGGGCCCAGGTGAGTGGGGGGGTCGGCCAGGGACACCTGCCCGGACCACAGGCGGGCCCAGGTGAGTGGGGGGAGTCGGCCAGGGACACCTGCCCGGACCACAGGCGGGCCCAGGTGAGTGGGGGTGAGGTCAGCCAGGGACACCTGCCTGGACCACAGGCGGGCCCAGGTGAGTGGGGGGAGTCGGCCAGGGACACCTGCCCGGACCACAGGCGGGCCCAGGTGAGTGGGGCGGGGTTGGCCAGGGACACCTGCCCGCTTCCTGTCCTCTGTGACGGGAGGGGGGCAGGCAGGGGGTGCTCAGGGGCCGCAGGAGGCGAGGACGCCGTGCCGGGAACGTGGGCGCCTGCCCGGCTGGGGCTGCTGCTCCAGCCTCCGAGGCCCACCCTCCTCTCCGAGGGGCAGGCCTGGCCTTTCAACCGGCGCCCGCCTCTGGAGGAGTGGGGGGCTGTGAGGGGCGTGCAGGGCCCCTCGGAGCCCCCACCTGCCCACTGGCAGCCAGAGCCCCAAGCCTCCCGCCCCGAGAGTGCAGCTGGCCGGGGGGTAAGGAATCGCCCATCTCACAGGTGGGGAGACAGGATCAGTGAGGGCAGGGGCACTGCCCAAGTCAGAGCAAATCCCTGCAGAGCGGGGAAGACCGGTACTCAGCTCCCCCGGCTTCCGCTGGACGTGGCCTTGCCTCGTGATGGCAGCCATCCCCGGCCACTGAGGAGAGCCGGGGGCTTAGGGCCAGGCCCGGGGGAAACGGGCAGCATGCACACGGCCGCTGGGCAGCTGGCCGGTGGACTCAGCCTGCACACCTTCAGGCACACGGTGGCTGCGAGGCTCTGGCACTCACGGCGGCCTCCCTCCTTCTGTCACTAGGTTCTGGCCCCAAGAAGTGCCCCCCAGAGGGAGCTCCCTGCAGTCCAGGTGGGCGGCGCCAGTGTCCTCCCGCGTCCTCGGGCGGGGGGCCAGGGCAGATACCTGGGGAGAAGCTCCTAGGCGTCCCCTCCTTGCTCCACGACCTGAGCGGGGGCTGCGGGGGTGGCCCCACGTCCCCATGACGGCCTCCACCCAACCCAGCTCCTCTCTTGTCGCCCTCCCCCCAGCAGAGGCAGCAGCGATGGGCGCCGGCGGCCCCCGGCGGGGCGCGGGCCCCCCGGACGGCGGCTGGGGCTGGGTGGTGCTGGGCGCCTGCTTCGTGGTCACGGGCTTCGCCTACGGCTTCCCCAAGGCCGTGAGCGTCTTCTTCCGCGCGCTCATGCGCGACTTCGGCGCCGGCTACAGCGACACGGCCTGGGTGTCCTCCATCATGCTGGCCATGCTCTACGGCACGGGTCAGCGCCCCTCCCGGCGCCTGGGGCGGGCACCCCGCGGCCCTGGTCCCCTGTGTGTGCCGGGATGGGCTGGGGTCCTGCCGTCTTGGGGGGAGGGAGGCGGCGCCCCCTCTGCTTCCAGCTCCGGGCTCTGGGGACGGGTGGGTCGCCCTGTTGTCCACTTGGCCGGGCCCAGCGGAGCTGTCCGACCTCGGCCAGGCGCTGCCCTCTAGGGGCCCCTGAGCCGAAGGTGACCTTACCCCCGGAGGCCGGCTCCCAGGGCTGGCCGTGACCCTGCCCTGCCCTCAGGCCCTGTGTCCAGCATCCTCGTGACCCGCTTCGGCTGCCGCCCGGTGATGCTGGTGGGCGGGCTGCTGGCCTCGGCGGGCATGGTCCTGGCTTCCTTCTCCACGCGCCTCCTGGAGCTGTACCTGTCGGCGGGCGTGCTCACAGGTGAGGGCCGCGGGGGAGGGGGCGGGCGGCCGGGCTGCCCGGGGAGACCCCCGGCCCGGCTCCCCGGGGCCCGCCCGCGCCGTGGGACTGGGGGAGGGGCGTCCCGGGGAGCCCCGCACGCGCGCGCGCGCACGCACGCACGGCGACGCCTCGCCCCGCAGGCCTGGGCCTGGCCCTCAACTTCCAGCCGTCGCTCATCATGCTGGGGCTGTACTTCGAGCGGCGGCGGCCGCTGGCCAACGGGCTGGCGGCGGCGGGCAGCCCCGTGTTCCTGTCGGCGCTGTCGCCGCTCGGCCAGCTGCTGCTCGAGCGCTTCGGCTGGCGCGGCGGCTTCCTGCTGCTCGGCGGCCTCCTGCTGCACTGCTGCGCCTGCGGCGCCGTCATGCGGCCGCCGCCCGGGCCCGGCCCGCCCGGGGCCCGCGCCGAGGACCGCGCGCGTGACGGCCCCGGGGAGGCGGGGGCCGAGGCGCGCCCGCGCCGGCGCCTGCTGGACGTGGCCGTGTGCGCGGACCGCGCCTTCGTGGTGTACGTGGTCACCAAGTTCCTGATGGCGCTCGGCCTCTTCGTGCCCGCCATCCTGCTGGTGAACTACGCCAAGGACGCGGGTGTGCCTGACGCCGAGGCCGCCTTCCTGCTGTCCATCGTGGGCTTCGTGGACATCGTGGCGCGGCCGGCGTGCGGCGCGCTGGCGGGGCTGCCACGCCTGCGCCCGCGCGTCCCCTACCTCTTCAGCCTGGCCCTGCTGGCCAACGGGCTCACGGATCTGAGCAGCGCGCGGGCGCGCTCCTACGGCACCCTCGTCGCCTTCTGCGTGGCCTTCGGCCTCTCCTACGGCATGGTGGGCGCGCTGCAGTTCGAGGTGCTCATGGCGACGGTGGGCGCGCCCCGCTTCCCCAGCGCGCTGGGCCTGGTGCTGCTCGTGGAGGCCGTGGCCGTGCTCATCGGACCGCCCTCTGCCGGTGCGCCCGCGCGGGGGAACGGGCTGGCGGGGCACTTCCAGGGAGGAGGGGAAGGGCCCCCATCTGCAGATCCCACCTGGGGTGGGTGGGGGGCTCCCGTTCGGGCCCAATCAGCCCCACCCCAAGGCTGGAGCCGCCCCCTCTAAGTGGGCCCGGGAAAGCCGGGGCAGGTGCCAGAAGAAACCGAAGAAACCGGTGCGCTGCGGCTGGCGCGGGCCTGGGGAAGCTGTCGGTGGGAAAGCTGAGGCAGTGTGGCTTAGCAGGGGGCGCAGTGCCCACACCAAGCGTGCGGAGTGGGCAGGACTGTGCGCCTGGTGACCAGGATGGGGACAGTGGCTGAAGAACCGGCCTTGGCAGGTGCTCAGTGGGGAGCTTCCGCCGGCCCAGCCCTGCCCTGGCCAGTGGGGACATTTGGGGAGTGAACCAGTGGACCGGCAGGTGCTCGGTGGGGCAGGGGGAGGAGGGGAGGCCGAGCATCCGCTGCAGATGCCCGCTGGGCCCCGTGTGCTCGCTCCCTCTGCCTCAGGGAGTCTCCAGGCAGCAGTGGCTGCGGGCATGGCTTGGGGGACGGTGGCCCCATGCGAATGAGGCAGGAACCAAGATGGGCAGGGTGCCGGGGGGGGCAGTGACCGCGAGGCCACCTCTGCCAGGGCCCAGGCTGCACCTGAGGTGGACTCAGCACCCCGAAACCCACCCCCAGAGCCACAAACCAGCCCACCCAGGGGCTCAGGGACCCACGTGCTTCTTGTGTGAGCCTGAAGCAGATCCAGTGGGCAGAGGGTGGGGGTTGGGGGGCCAGGGACAAGAGCAGCTGGCTGGGAGGGGCCGAGGAGTACTGAGCAGAGGGGCTGGGGCAGGGAGCCCCTGGGGGACTTGCCCGAGGCCACAGCCACAAGCACGTCCCAGAGAAGGTGGCGCCCACACCGGAGCTGCACTTCAGGGGGAAATACTGCAGTGAGATTGTCCTGCGTGTGCCAGGGCCGTGTGGGTGACACAGCTTGGGGACCGGAGAAGGCAGCTTCCTGGCCACGAGCCCTGCCTCGCAGGGACAGCAGGGCCCCAGGGCTGAGCCCCGCCCCTGGAGACTGAGGAGTGTGGGGGGCCGGCACCTGGGGACAGCAAGAGCTGGGGTTCCCCAGGAGGGGAGGCATCTTACTGCCCCTGACACGGCCCACGGGGCTGGAAGCAGGCCAGGGTGGAGGCTGCCCAGAGCCAGACACAGCCGCCTCACCAGCGCCCCGACTGGGGATGTGACCAAAAAATTCTTTGAAAGGCAGTGACAGAGGAGAGATCGTCCATCCGCTGGTTCACTCCCCAGATGTCCCCCATGGCCGGGGCAGGGCTGGGCCAGGCGGAAGCTCCTCCCTGTGGGTCTCCCACAAGCACTTGGACCACCCTCCGCTGCTTCCCGAGGCCATTAGTGGGGAGTGGGAACCCGGTGCTCATATGGGATGCCGGTATCGCAGGTGGCAGGTCGCCCACCGTCACGATGCGGCCCCAGGAGATGTGGCACTTTGAGAGCCCAGGTAGTGGCGCCCACGCGGGACTTGCCCTGTGAGGGCCCTGACCGCCCGTCCCGCCCGCAGGCCGCCTGGTGGACGCGCTCAAGAACTACGAGATCATCTTCTACCTGGCCGGCTCCGAGGTGGCCCTGGCGGGCATCTTCATGGCCGTGGCCACCAGGTGCTGCCTCCAGCGCCGCCGCCGCGGCTCGCAGGACGCCGCCGCGGGCCCGGGCTCCGAGGGCGGAGCCAGCGACACGGAGGAAGCCGAAGCCGAGGCCGAGGCGGAGGCGGACTCGGAGCCCCTGCCCACCGCCCCCGAGAAGACCCGCAGCCTCGAGGCCCTGGCGGCGCCGAGCCCCAGCGCTGGGTCCACGGAGCCCGAGGCGGAGGAGGCAGAGCCGGGGCTGGAGGCCGAGACTGTGTAGGCGGGGGCGGGGCCTGAGGACTGGGCCCCGCCCACACCGGGCCGGGCTCCCTGGCCCCTGCGTGTCGGGGGAACTCCTCCCGGATTTGCTGATAAAAGCGCCCCAGAGAGCCACAAGTCCTAGTCCTGCGCCTCCGCCCTGCGCTGGGGGAGGGGGAGGGGGAGGAGGGCGCCCAAGGGATCAGAGATGAAGGGGCCGGGCCGGTTTCTGCGTGTGCACAAGGGGTGGTGGGCCTCACCTGCCCGCCCCTCAGTCTTCCCGGGGTGAGCGGCGGTGGCAGCCCCTGTAGCTGCGGGCTGCACACAGGCCCCCTGGTCGGGGTCAGGGCTGAACCGTGGCCGAGGCCTGCGAGGGGAGACGTGGTGGTCGCCTGCCTTGCCGCCTTCCACACGGTGCGCGCGCCCCCTCCCCAGGGGCGGGCAGCCGCAGGTGTGCCGGGCCGGGGCCCGCGACTGCTCTGGCGCCCTGACCTTGGGCTGCGTGCGGTTTGACCCGGGTGGAGCTGGGAGGTCCTGGGCCCACCTCCTCCTGTCCTCACTCTGCTCGTGAACTGCGTGCCCCTTTCTGTGCCTCTGCTGGGACCTGAGTGTGGTAGCCAGGCCCCATGTGGACCCAGCCGCCCAGAGCAGAGGGCCCTCCCCCTGGTCCCCTTGGCCCAGGACAGGGAGCCCTGCGGTGCCTGGCCCACTGCTCCGCTGTCGTCGCTCGCTCTGCACCAGGTCCTGCCAAGGCCCCACAACCTAGTGCGGTGGGCACAGGAGTCTGGCGCCAGCCCAGGTCCCCGGGGCTGTGAGCTCCAGGCTGCCCCCTGCAGGAGGGAGGTGTGGACAGCCTCCCCCTCCAGCCGAGGGTCTTGTTTCCGCCCAGGGCCGTGGGCACAGTCCTGCTTCTCCATTTGGGCCTGTGCCCACCCCTCCTCCCAAGGTGACCTCATCCACTGTCCTGACAAGGACACGTGAGGGTGCTTACCCACGGACCCCGTCTCACTAGTGGACAGCCCCGTGCCTCCCCAGGCCCAGACCAACAGGCGCCTGCAGCGGCCCAGATCCCCGCCCTGGGCCCCAGGTTGCCCTGCCTGCTGTCCTGCCCCCTGCCCCGTCCAGAAGCCCCCAGGCCCGGGAGAGCCCCACAGAGCTGGCAGCTTTGCGGGCAGGTGACCCTGCCAGCCTCGGGCCCCGCAGATGCAAGTCCAGGGCCCTCTGCCCCCACAGACACGGCCTTAAACAGCGGCTTCTCGGGACCCGGCGTCCCCCGCTGTCCCGGGACGGCGGCGCACACGGGCTCCTGCCTGCCCCAAGCCGGGCGTCAGAGGAAGGCTGAGGCCACTGCCAAGAGCCTGGCGCCATCCAGGCCGGTTTATTCAGCACAGCCCAGCGTCTGGCCCTCACAGCAGCGGCCGCCCGGTGCGCGTGTGGCCCAGGAGACGCCGGCCCCGCCGGCTGCCCGCCTCGGCCCCACTCCCGGCAGGCTACGGGGGGCCGCCAAGGCACCCGCAGGACCAGGCCCCGGGCTGTCTGCCGCCTCCAGCACCCTCCTAAGGCTGCTCCAGAGATGGGCGCCCCCTCTGGCTGGGGGAGGGAAGGCTGGGGCCCCAGGGCCTTTCCCAGGAGGGGTCCGGGCCACCATGGACAGAGGAGCAGGGAGGCGGGCGCCCCGAGCCAGCAGGCCTTTATGCGCCGCCCGGTCGCCCAGCGGCCCCACCCTGCTCCGTGCACCTGCCCCTGGGGACTCAGGAGTCCCTCCAGCTTCCTCCCTTGTCCACAGGCGCGGCAGCCCCGCGCGTGTCCCCGGCTGGCTCCCCGGCCGCCGTGTCCTCATCCTCGTCCTCCTCCTCCTCCTCCCCGTCGGTGAACTCGCCCTGGCCGGGGCCGTAGGCCAGCGTGGTGTGCGCCAGGTCCACCTCGATGGGGAAGACGTCGGCGTCCCGTAGCACGGCGTAGCAGTCGTTGTAGTACTTGGACATGGTGGACACGAGGCGCTGCAGCTGGAACACGATGTCCTGGACTGGGGCGGGGCCGGCAGGGGCACAGTGGCAGGGCCGCCCGGCGGGAGGGGAGTGCCCACCCGCTCCCCCGCGGGGCCCAGCGCGGCGGCCTCACCGTGCTTCTGGTCCAGCAGCTCCATCTTCTCCAACACGTCCTTGCGCATCTGTGAGAAGCGGGCGCGGGCCTCCTGGCGGCAGCGCAGGATCAGCCGGTACTCGTAGTTGCCCGTGCTCACGCGGTACAGGGGCTCCCCCAGGGCCTGGCAGGGGCAGCCCGTCAGCACTCCAGGGCCTGGGGCCGGCAGCCGCGGGCTCACCCAGCTGCTCGCTGCCCTGCTGCACCCCCAAAGCCGGCCCGGCGCGGTTCCGCGCCCCCTGTGGTGACTGGGCGTTCTGGAGGAGAAGAAACTCAAAACAAAGCCCTCACTAAGTAAGTGACGGCCCCTGACGGCCAAAGTATGAGAACGTGGGGCCGGTGCTGTGGCGTACTGGGCTGAGCCACCGCCTACAGTGCCAGCATCCCACATGGGCGCCGGTTCGAGTCCCAGCTGCTCCACTTCCGATCCTGCTCTCTGCTGTGGCCTGGGAAAGCACTGGAAGATGGCCCTAGTGCTTGGGCCCCTGCACCCACATGGGAGACCTGGAGGAGGCTCCTGGCTTCGGATCAGCTCACTCCAGCTGTTGTGGCCATTTGGGGAGTGACCCAGCAGATGGGAGACCTCTCTCTCCCACCCTCTCTGTGACTCTGCTTCCCCCCCCCCCAAAAAAAAAAGAAAGAAAGAAAGAAAACTTAAAAACACCACTTTGGAGAGGAAACTCCATTTTCCCCTGCAAGAGGCCGGGGCAGGCACAGGGCCGCCCCTCGACGGGCTGGCCAGGCGCAGTGCGCCGAGGAGCGGGGCGGGCCGCGCCCCAGGGGCCCCCCCGCCCCGCCACCGCAGCGCGGCACTCACGATGCAGCTGTACTCCTCGTCGTCCATCTCCTTCACCTTCAAGCAGTAGGACTGGGCGGGGGGGGGCACGGTCAGGGCGCTGCGGCCTCCGCCGCCCCCTCTCACAGCCCCAGCCCCGCCTCCTGGGTCCTGCGGGTTCCCCGCTGGCGGCAGGGACAGGTCGGGCTCCGGGGTCTGGGGCACTCGTGGACACGGGCCCAGCAAGGGCTGAGGGACCGGCCATGCCGCAAACGTCTTCCTCCGCCTCCACTCGAGCCCCAGCCCCCGTCTAGGCAGCGTTCCCGGGACCGCGAACCGCCGCGTGCGCCGGCCGCACTCACCAGGTACTCGAACTTCACGTCCAGGTACTTCTTGATGGTGAGGCGCGTGTCGGGGATGGCCTTGTTGAGGTACGTGTTCAGGTCCGTCAGCATCTGGGGGAGCGGGGAGAGGGGTCGGCCGGGAGCCCGCTGCCCTCCGCGCACAGCCCGCGTGCTCGCTGGCGGCCTCGGCCCCGCCAAGGATGAGGAGCCAGGCCGGGCCAGGGCCGCCGCGACGTGGCGCCCGGGGTGGGGCAGCAGCGCCGGGGCCCTACCGGCTTCACGGTCTTCAGGAGCCGGATGCCGAACTTCTCGATGCTGCGGTGCGCGTCGGCGAACTTCACAAAGGCCTCACTCGCGGCCGGCTGGGGCTCCCGCACCCCGATCACGGAGAACACGTCCCCGAAGGCTGCGGGACAAGGCTGCCCTGAAGGCCGGCCCCTCGGCCCGCCACGGGAAAGCCAGGGTTCACTGGGGTGCGGCGGGTCGCGCTCTACCCTGGGAGGGGGCTGCAGAGCTCCGCCCACCCAAGACTCCTCTGCGCAGCTGGGCGGGGCCTCCGCTCCTCGGGGTTCCCTGGCACCTGCCCAGGTCTGCCCCCAGGGAGCAGGCCCTCACCCCCACCCCGGGGAGCAGCCTGGGGCTCCGATGCCGGGTCCTAACGCCAGCGTGGCCTCCGCGCTGTGGCCGCTCCCTCGGCCTGGCTCCACCTTCCCAAGGGTGAGCGGGGTAGCTCAGCTGTCCTACCTGGCTAGGGGACCACAGCAGGGGAGGCCCGCCCTGCAGCGCCGTGCAGCCCAGCACGGCCGCACCCCAGCACCCAGCACCCAGGGCCAGGCCCCGCCGTGGGCGGCCCTGGGGGAGCTCATGGCCTCACTGTACAGGGGTCACAGCCCAGCGGGGCTGGCGGGTGTGGGGGGCGCCGTTACCCCGGTGGGTCTGCGACAGCTCATAGAAGGCCCGCAGCAGGTTCTTGGTGTGCTCCGTCATCCCTGGGGGAGAGAGCCGAGACGCGGGGTGGGCCCAGGGCACCCTGGGGGCCCCCGGCCTGTCCTGACGCCTGTGTCCCCAACGTCCCCTTCAGAGCGCCTGGCCGGGCGCCACCCACCTCTGTACAGCTCGGCGGTCCGCTCCAGCTCCTCCAGCCTCTTGACGAGCCCATCTGCAGGGACCAGGGAGAAGGTGAGGCCGGCCACAGCCGGGAGAGGACAAGGGACCCCAGGAACAGGCCCGGGGAGGGGCGAGGGCACCTGGCTGAGCGGGGCTCAGAGGTAAACAGCCCGGCACCCTGAGAGGCGGCGGAGAGGAGCCCCCGCCCCAGGGGGCCGGATCCAAGGGGCAGCAGGTGATGACGACGCGGGCACTTCCCGAAGGCAGGACCGGAAGGTGGTCAGCAGCTCCCCACGGCTGGCCGGCACGAGAGAGCCCTGCGGCCGCCCGTCCCGGCGAGGCGGGGCCAGCCCAGGCGGGGCTGTGACGGGAGGGGACAGAGCCCAGGAAGCGCTACACCCAGCTCGCACTGGTCCCCAGGGACCCTGCAGCCCCTGCTGCACCCGCCTTGGGGAGGCCCAGGGAGGCCCACGGGGACGAGTGCAGGTCCTGCCCTTGCCCTTGGACTCGACGTCTAGCAGGGAAGCCAGGCAGTGGACCGGCAGAAGTGTGACGGCCACGGGACGTGGGGAGCAGTGACAGTGAGGGCCACTGGACGTGGGGGGCAGTGACAGTGAGGCCATGGGACGTGGGGGCAGTGACAGTGAGGGCCAAGGGACATGGGGGCTCGTGGGGGGCAGTGACAGCGAGGGCCACGGGACGTGGGGGACAGTGACAGTGAGGGCCACAGGACGTGGGGAGCAGTGACAGTGAGGGCCACTGGACGTGGGGGGCAGTGACAGTGAGGCCATGGGACGTGGGGGCAGTGACAGTGAGGGCCACGGGACATGGGGGCAGTGTGACAGTGACGTCATGGGACGTGGGGGCAGTGACAGTGAAGGCCACGGGACGTGGGGGCAGTGACAGTGAGGGCCAAGGGACATGGGGGCAGTGTGACAGTGAGGGCCACGGGACGTGGGGGCAGTGACAGTGAGGGCCACGGGACGTGGGGGGCAGTGACAGTGAGGGCCACGGGACGTGGGGAGCAGTGACAGTGAGGGCCACGGGACGTGGGGAGCAGTGACAGTGAGGGCCACTGGACGTGGGGGGCAGTGACAGTGAGGCCATGGGACGTGGGGGCAGTGACAGGGCCACTGGACGTGGGGGGCAGTGACAGTGAGGCCATGGGACATGGGGGCAGTGACAGTGAGGGCCAAGGGACATGGGGGCACGTGGGGGGCAGTGACAGCGAGGGCCACGGGACGTGGGGGCAGTGTGACAGTGAGGGCCACGGGACGTGGGGGACAGTGACAGTGAGGGCCACGGGACGTGGGGGTAGTGTGACAGTGAGGGCCACGGGACGTGGGGGGGCAGTGTGACAGTGAGGGCCACGGGATGTGGGGGGCAGTGACAGTGAGGTCATGGGACGTGGGGGGCAGTGACAGTGAGGCCACGGGACGTGGGGGGCAGTGACAGTGAGGGCCAAGGGACATGGGGGCACGTGGGGGGCAGTGACAGTGAGGTCATGGGACGTGGGGGCACGTGGGGGCAGTGACAGTGAGGCCACAGGACGTGGGGGACAGTGACAATGAGGGTCACGGGACGTGGGGGCAGTGACAGGGCCATGGGACATGGGGGCACGTGGGGGGCAGTGACAGTGAGGCCACGGGACGTGGGGGGCAGTGACAGTGAGGCCATGGGACGTGGGGGCACGTGGGGGGCAGTGACAGTGAGGCCACGGGACGTGGGGGGCAGTGACAGTGAGGCCACGGGACGTGGGGGGCAGTGACAGTGAGGTCATGGGACGTGGGGGGCAGTGACAGTGAGGGCCACGGGACGTGGGGGCAGTGTGACAGTGAGGGCCACGGGACGTGGGGGCAGTGACAGGGCCACGGGACGTGGGGGACAGTGACAATGAGGGCCAAGGGACATGGGGGCATGTGGGCGGCAGTGACAGTGAGGGCCACGGGATGTGGGGGGGCAGAGTGACAGTGAGGCCACGGGACGTGGGGGGGCAGTGTGACAGTGAGGCCATGGGACATGGGGGCAGTGTGACAGTGGGGGCCAGTGGGACAGGGCCGTGGGACATGGGGGACAGTGCTGGGGCAGCTGTCTCCTCCGGGGCTCAGCACGGGAGGCAGCCCACTGCCTAGGTGACACTTCGGGGCTCCCTCCATAGGGAGCAGCCCTCCTGTGGGCTCCCCTGCGCCCCGATGAAGAGGAGGTACACACACGTCCCTGCCAGGAGCAGCCGGGAGGGCAGGGGCCCCCACCCAGCCGCTCCCAGGGCAGGGCCTGGCTTCAGGGGCAACTTCCTGAGGCCTGGCCCCCAGACCTGGGCCCGCTGAAGGCTGGGGCACGGCCCACAGCTGCCGGGGAGCACCACGGCAGGCACAGCGCCCCGCCCAGCGTGGAGCAGGGACGCTCCAGGCCAGTGCTCTCCACGGCCCCTCTCCCGCGGGACCCGGGCCAGGTCTCTGAGCAGGAGGGCAGGGGTGTCGGGCCAGGGCAGCGGCCCTGGGGAGGAAGGGGCAGCTCGGAGGTCCTTGGGAGGCCCGGCACACGGCCAGCCAGCAGGAGGGGCCGGGCGCGAGCCCACACGGTTGTTTTCAGCTGGGTCACAGCATCGTGACAGCTTCACTTTTAGAAACTCTATTTACGGCTGGGAAATTGCAAGGTTTGGGGGAAAAACACAAGAGCCAGCTCTAATTTCATCTCAGCCGCGGTGAGTGCGGAGCAGGGTGCACGGCCCAGGCGAGAACAGCACCCCCACTCACCAGCCTTTGGAGCCGCCTGCAGCTATTTATATTCAGCCTGCCCAAGACACTGCGGGGTGCGCTATTTATAACCGGCCCGCAGCGCTGTGGGCGGGACCCAGAGCTTCACTGGCCACCTGGGACCAGAAGGTGCGCGCCTGTGCCCTGCCTGGGCAGCCCCCCCAGAGCCCTGGGCAGGACAGGGGAGAAACGGGCAGCAGCGCCACCCGCTGGAGAAACGCCGGCAGTGCAGGCCCAGGGCTGAGGAGGCCCCGCCCCATCAGCAGCTGCCCGGGAAGGCCCCGTGGGGAGCTGTGGGCACTCGGGGGCGCAGGGGCGGTGACTGTGCGGCCCTCCGGGAAGGGCGGGCGGGGACTCACCGTTGCAGAGGATGGCCCGGCTCAGGCCCAGGGCGTCGGCCGTCCCCGAGCTCATGTTCTCCACCAGCCGGTGCTTGACCTTCTTCAACACTGGGCCGGGTGAGAAAAGGCAGCAGCAGGGCCACCAGCGTCACCACAGCTCGCTGGCCACGGCCAGTAGGGGGCAGAGGGGCTGCCCTGTGGCTGGGTGCTGGGGTGGCCGTGGTGGCTGCGTCCTGGGGAGAGGGCCCCGGGCAGCTGACGGGAGCGATGGCCCGGGCCAGGGAGAGCTGCTTCCCCCGCCCTCTCCATCAGGGCCGTGGGGGACCCGTGGTGGGTCAGTGCCCACCACGCCAGAGCAGCAGGCCTCATCAGTGACCAGCGGGCCGGCCCCAGACGCACGCACTGCTGCCGTTGGAAGGGGCCGGGGTTGGAACAAGAGGGCCTGGAGGGAGACGCGGGTGCCTCGGTCTGCAGGGGCGTGGAGACCTCTCTGGGCCTCAGGCTCCCGCCTGCAGCTCCTGGATCCGTTTCTACAGAACCAAGGCCCAGCCCTCCCGCAGGAGGCCACTCGCCTCGGGCACGCCACGGGCAGCAGGACTGGCTTGGGCCCTCTGCCCTGCGCAGGGTGCAGTTCTGAGCCAGAGCCTGCGAGAGCGGGCTGTGTGGGCCGGTGAGCCCAGGAGCTGGCCTAGGAGGACAAACAGGACCCAGAGGGGGCGGGCGGGGGAGCTGGCGGGGGACACAGGGCAGTGAGAACCCAGGGCCAGGGTGTGGGAGCAGCTGAGGGACGGCCCACTGAGCCCTCCCGGGCCACTTGTGGCCTCGGTCAGACCCCGCAGCCACAGATGCAGCCACCAAGGGGCCTGCGGGGCACTGGACGCCACTCACCGATGTCCAGGGACATGCCCTGCTTGGGGTCCGCCTGCAGCTTGTTGTAGTGGATGGTCACCTCCCCCTGCAAGGGCGGCCCAGGCCACTGTCACGGACTCCCCTGGATCCCAGCCTCCACCCTGGCAGCTGGCTCACGAGACAGTCCTGCGCCCGCGAGGGGCCCGGCTGCAGCCTGACACAGTCCTGTGTGCGGCCCTGTCTGCTCCCAGGCCCTCCCTTCCTGCAGACCACAGCGGGACACAGCTCCTGTCACCACACGGCGCACGCCCCGCCTCTCTGCACCCCTTCCCTCCAACGCCACACCCCATTGCAAACCTGTGCGGCATCCCCTCCCTTCCTCAGGTCCCCCATCCTCAGGGTCCCCACTCTCAGTCAGCCAGACACCAAGCAGAAGGGGCGGGGCAGCCGCAGGGTCAGGGCCCAGGCCGGGCAGGGCGCTGTGGGACATAGGGAGGGGCACACGGGAGTCCGGCGGCTGCTTGGGACAGAGCTTCTGAGTGGGGTCCCCGTCCTGGGGCGCCACCGTCACTCATCCTATGACCCAAAGGCCCGTGAACCGCGGATCAAATCCGTCCAAACAAAACACAAAACTTTAGAACTGTTCCTGGGGCCGGCACTGTGGCGCAGTGGGTTCACGCCCTGGCCTGAAGCACGGGCATCCCATATGGGCACCGGTTCGAGATCCGGCTGCTCCACTTCCGATCCAGCTCTCTGTTATGGCCGGGATAGCAGTGGAGGATGGCCCAAGTCCTTGGGCCCCTGCGCCTGCGTGGGAGACCCAGAGGACGCTCCTGGCTCCTGATCCGCGCAGCTCCAGCCGTGCGGCCGTTGTGAGCCAGCGGATGGAAGACCACTCTCTGTCTCTCCCTCTCTAACTCTTTCAAATAAATAAAATAAATCTTTAAAAAAAAAAAAAAAAAAAAAACAAAACCGTTCCTGAAGGAAACCACAATGAGCCGACGCCACCAGCCAGGGCGGGAGGTGAACCCACTCCCAGGGAACACCCGGCGCTCGCCGGGGCCACCCTGCAGCCTGGGGTGTCAGCCGCATGACCACAAGCAGGGCACTTCCCCAGGACCCCAGGAAAGTGGGCCGGTCACCCCACCCCGCCCACACACAGGGGCGGGGGACCTGCAGAGCTGCGGTTCCGGCAGGGGGAGGGGCCCTGGGGCCGGGGCTGCAGGAGGAGGGACGCCTCCCACAGCACCCCCCCCCCCCGCCCCACCTCTGTCAGGCCTGCGGGCTCCCTAGTGTGTGACAGCGCTCCGAGCCCCGCCCAGCCCGTCCTGTGGCCACAGGGGCTCCAGCAGAGCCACAGCAGGGTGAGGCCCTCCCAGAAGCCACCGGTGCGGGTGGGGGACGGTTCCTGGAGCTGCGCAGGGTGGGAGTGGGCTGGGGGAGGGGAGATGAAGCACCCGGCCAGGTGAGCCTCACCGAGGGGCCCAGCCTAGGAAGCGTGCAGGGGCCGCAGGCACAGGCGCGGCCTGGGCGAGGGCCTGGGTGGGGGCGGGTGGCCCAAAGCCCAGTTGGGCTGGGAGCTGCCCCAGAGCCCGGCGTCGCCCCTAGGAGTCTGGATTCACAAGGGTGCTCCTCCTGCCCCTCCGAGGTCCTGCAAGGCCACGGCACCTGCTGACCCACCAAGTTCACCCTGGAGTGGCTTCTACTCCCGCCCTGGCCAAGGACGCACGGGCCTGGCCCCGGCAAGGTGCCTGGTGCGCCCGGCCCTGCGAGGTCACGCTGCCCACTCTGGCCAGGGCTCGACGAGGATCCGCCGGCGAGGGTGGGTGGCGCCCCGGCTCCGCTCCGGCAGCCCCTACGCCAGCAGCAGCCCTACCTTCACCTCCTGGATCATCTTCGCCACCTCCACCTTGGTCTTCCCTTTGATCGACCGCCCATTGACGCCGGTGATCTCGTCGCCAGCCGCCACTGTGCCATCCACGGCGGCCGGGGTGTTGTCGAACACCTATGGACACAGCCACGGGGGACGGAGGTGAGACCTCGGGCAGGGCCAGCTCTGCACTCACCCCCGCCGAGTGCGCCCTGCGGCCCTGGGGACGGGGCGTGGAGGACGGGACGCTCGCTCCCATGGCTCCCAGCACGGCTGACTCCCAGAGCGCGGCGCCGGCTGCCTGAGCAGAGGCCCGTGAGTCCCCTTCCCCAGGCGACCCCTTCAACAGGGTCCGCCCTCACTGGCTGCCCCGGCTGGGTGAGGCCGTCCAGGATCAGATGCATGAGACAAAGGAAAGCGGGCCACACGAACACAAACCACCCAAGGAGGGAACCCTGGGCGGGCACCTGGCGCGGGGCTCAACGGGCTCGCGACACCTGCAGCCCACACGGAGCCCGTCTGGTCCCAGCTGCCTGCTTCCAATGCAGCTTCCTGCTGAAGCTCCAGGGAGGCAGGAGTTAACGGCCCAAGCGCTTGGTCCCTGCCACCCGCGTGGGAGACCCAGATGGAGTTCTTGGCTCTGGACTTCGGCCTGGCCCAGCCCTGACTGTGGTGGCCATTTGGGGAGTAAGCCAAGGGAAGGAAGATCTCTCTCTCTCTCTGTTTCTCTGTGTGTGCGTGTGTGTGTGTCTCCCTTTCTCTATCATTCTGCCTTATTAATAAACAAACAGAAACCACTGAGAGAGCACACAGTTATTGAGAACGCACCTGCTGCTACATTCCTTCTCCACTGTCTTTACGTTCTGAGTTTTCTACAAGAAGCACGTCAAAAGAACACCTCAGGGGCTGGCGCTGTGGACAGCGGGTTAGGCCGCCACCCGCAGTGCCAGCAGCACATACGGGCACCGGCTCTCGTCTCAGCTGCTCTGCTTCCGATGCAGCCCCCTGCTCATGTGCCAGGGAAGGCAATGAAACAGCCCAGGTCCTTGGGCCCCTGCAACCATGCGAGAGACCTGGAAGAAGCTCCCAGCTCCTGGTTCGCACTGTGCCCGGCCCCAGACATGGTGCCCACTTGGGGAGTGAACCAGCGGATGGCAGATCACAATCTTCCTCTCATCTCTCCTCCTTTCTCTGTAATTCTGCCTTCCAAAATAAATAAATTTTATGTCTTTTAAAGGTGTGTGGTGGGGGCGGCGGCACTGCAGTGTAGCGGTGCCGGCATCACATATGGGCGCCTGTTAGAGTCCGGCTGCTCCACTTCTGATCCAGCTCTCTGCTGTGGCCTGGTGGCCTGGGGAAGCAGCAGAGGATGCCCAGGTGCTTGGGCCCCTGCACCCACGTGGGAGACCCGGAGGAAGCTCCTGGCTCCTGGGTCCTGAGCAGCTCAGCTCCAGCCGTTGTGGTCATTTGGGGAGTGAACCAGCGGATGGAAGATTCTCTCTCTCTCTCTGTAACTTTTTCAAATAAGTAAAAATAATTTTTTTTAAAAAATGGCTGAAAGGAATTTAAAAAAACATAAGTAAACGGAATACATCCCATGTTCATAGATTAGAAGCCGCTACTCAAAGCAACCTCAGACTCGACTCAACGCCTATCAGATCCCAATGGCATTTTTTATAGGAATAGAAAAGCCTTCTTCTGTTAAGAGGAAAAAAATTATAAAAAAATAGAAAAACCAACCCTAAAATTCATATGGAATTCAAGGAACCCTGAATAGGGGAAACACTCTTGGAACAGAGGGGCAAGGCTGTGAGACACTCAAAACTTCCGACACTACCACTTTATCAAGACAGAGAGCCAGACCGAGGGGGGGCGGGAGCCCAGAGCAAGCGATCCCTCTGCACCTGGGGTCAGCAGCAGCGAGGAAAGCAAAGTCCCCCCAACAGACGGGGGAGTGCAAGAGAGTGGACCTCACTAATACAACCGCTAACGCACGGCGGCACCGCGGCGCAGGTCAACCCACTGCCTGCAGCGCAGCGCGGCCCCCAACACGGGTGCGCCACGTCCAACCCAGCTCCCTGCTAGCGCGCCGGGGGAAGCAGCGGAGGAGGCAGAGCTGGACGGGGCTCCCGGCTCCTGCCCAGCCCCGACCACTGTGGCAGCTTGGGGAGAGAACCAGCAGACGGAACATCCCTGTCTCTTCCTGCCCCTCTACCTTCCATTAAAAAGAAATAAAGTTAACAGAAAACGCATCAAAGATGGGGCACAGTGCGAGGACGCCAGGAAGACCTGCTTCCCACACTGGGCCTGGGACCAAATCCCACCTCCACTCCTGATCTGAGCTGCCTGTGATGCGTATCGTGACGACAGTGGCTTCTGGGGAGGCCCCAGGACAAGAGCTGGCCCAGGAGGCCGGGGTGGGCGGGATCCTGACTGGACCCTGGCTTTTTTTTTTTTTTTTTTTTTTAAGATTTATTTTCCATTCCTTTGAAAGGCAGAGTTTACAGAGAGACATGTTTTCCATCTGCTGGTTCACTCACCAGATGGCTTCAACGGCTGGGGCTGGCCACTGCGAAGCCAGCAGCCAGGAGCCCCCCCCAGGTCTCCCACACGGGTGGCGGGGCCACCTTCCATTCTCTGCGGCTTTCCCAGGCGCACCAGCAGGGAGCTGGATCGGAAGTGGAGCGGCTGGGACTCAAACTGGCGCCCACATGGGATGCCGGGGATGGAAGCAGCAGCTCTGCCCACTGTACCACAGCACGGCCCCACCTCCCTTCCTGACCCTCCGGCCGGCGGCAGGGCCTGGCCGGGAGCTCAGGGAAGCATCCCGAACGAGACATCGGCTGCATGAGACTCATTCGGCCACAGGCAGAGCGACTGTCGGGAGAGTGGCCCGAGAGGAAGCCGCGGCTCCGGAGGGCACAGACATCCCGGCTACCGGACCAGGGAGGCACCCCAGGGCGCGCATCCCACGGGGAACAGCCGAGGGGGAGCGGTGCGAAGGGCAGCGGACGGTGAGGCGCCCTATGATCGGGAACGGGGAACTGACTGCTCCTGGGCTGTGCGCGCCCCGCTAGCTGCGAGCAACTCCGCACGTTCATACACACACTGCACTCCGAAGGTCCACTTCCAGGCCACCCGCCACGCGGGCAGCCCCTCCGAGCTGCTCCACTTCCGACCCAGCTCCTTGAACAGGAAGCTGGGAAAGCAGTGGAGGAAGGGCCCAGTGCGTGGGCCCCTGCCACCCCCGCGGGAGATGTGGACGGAGCCCCAGGCTCTCTGTCACTCTGCCGTTCAAACGGATAAACAGAATGGTTTTCGGTAAAAGTGCCAATGCTCCTAAGGTGTATTCCGGTCACAATCGGGAAGCTGCCCTGCCCGCCCCCTAGGGCTCCCTCCCCAAGGCCGGACGGGACTCCCTGCAGACCCTCGGAGCCTGCCCCTCCCCACGGGCTCTGCTCAGTGACGGCACTGGCCTGCCCAACAGGCAACAGGCCCGGTCCTCCCCGGAAAGGCCATGGCTGCACGCCAGCCTCGCATCAGGCCTGACCCCGCTCCCGCACCGCTGTCCCAGCCGACGGGGCGTCACCAGGCGGCTTCCTGCACAGGGCACGGCGGCGCGGGTGCAGAGCGGCTGGGGAAGCGCCCGCTGCCAGGGAGCGCAGGCGCCCTCTGCTCCTACGCACCAGGCACCCACTGCGCCCACTTCTCCCCAGAACCAGCACGTGCCCACGACTACCTGCTTTTGGCTGAGAAAGCTGCGGCCCCTGCACCCCTGTGGAGACCCCATAAGCTCCTGGCTTCGGCTGACTCAGCCCACCGCACCGTCCGCCGCGGCTCGCCCCTTGCTCCCCCAGCGAAGTCTGTGCGCTCATGCCCCAGCCTCAGCCTCCCCCCCCACCCCCACCTGGGCGAGCACCCATAGCTGCCCCCCCACTCGGGCGAGCACCCACAGCCGCCCCCCACCCCCACCCGGGTGAGCACCCACAGCCGCCCCCCACTCCCACCCCCGGGTAAGCACCCACTCCGCAGCCCTGTGGGTTCAGCAAATGCGCTCCGCAAACGTCCACAGTGCCAGACCGCAGCACGCGCCCGGCGCACCAGGGCAGACGGCAGCAGTGGTGGGACACAGGGGCGGCCCGCTCGGGGGGCTCGGGCGTGGGAAGGCCCGGCCCACCAGCCGCACCGGAGCAGGAGGTGGCTCAGCTCCCAGGACCCTGCCCAGCCTCCGTATGCCAGTACCTGCACGATGTAGAGGCAGGGGCAGTACTGGGCGCCGCCCCCGATGCTGATGCCGATCAGGTTCTGGGCGTCCTTCTGCAGGGTCACCTTCCCGGGCACAGTGGGGATCCCGCTGCAACGAGAAGCCGGCGGCCTCAGTCTCCCCGGGGAGGCCCGAAGCTGCCCGAGGGCCAGCACCTCGCGCTGGGCGCACGCAGCCCTCGCAGTGGTGCGGATGGGATCGAGGCCCCCAGCCCGGCCTCCCAGCAGCGTGGCACTTGGGCCACCCCCCGGCCCGCATCCCGGTTCCTCACGGGCGCGTCGGGAGGCTCCCCTGTCAGCGTCCACACCAACAGGCCCAGGCGGCCGCCACGGAAACACGCCCCCACTTCCTCCCCTCACGGGCACAGGGAACATCACGGCTCCCTCCTCCCAAAGCCCCCATAACCCCCACCCCCCGTCTCAGTCGCTGTCCAGCCACCTCTCGGCTCCCACAGCAAATCAGCGCTTGCCCACGTTCTAGGGTAAACATCTCACTCAGAGAAGGCAGACAGCCTACTGACCTCGGTGCCGAGGACACAAAACGGCACTAGGTCGGGGCCACCGCCCACCACACTGGCACCCGTATCAGAGCACCGGCTGGAGGGGCCGGCGCTGTGGGGCAACAGGTTAAGCCTCCGCCTACGATGCCGGCATCCATATGGGCACCAGGTTGAGACCCGGCTTGTTCGGCTTCCATCCGGCTCCCTGCTGATGCACCGGGGAGAGCAGCAGGTGCCCCAAGTCCTTGGGCTCCTGCCCCCACGCCGGAGCTTGGAAGAGGCTCCGGCTCCTGGCTTCTATCGGCCCAGCCCTGGGCGTTGCAGCCATTTGGGGTAGGAACCAGTGGATGGAAGACCTCTCTCTGTCTCTCCTTGTCATTTTGCCTTTCAAATAAAAGGAATCTTCCTTAGTAAGTGGCACTGCATGCTGTGACGGGGCACACGGTCTGACCTTAGGAAACCTGGCCCTTGGCTGTCTCCCACCCTCCTGCCGGTCCCCGACACCCGCCTCCCCCGGCCGCCCAGCAGATGCCCTGCCCCGGCTGCTCCTGGCGCTCTCAGGGCCCTGACCCGCCGGTCCTCAGCGCGCCCGACCCTCGGCCGTAGGCGAGCGTTTGCAGAGCTAGAAGCCGGGGCGCGAGGCCTGCGGCTCCTGTGCTCCCGGGCGTGGAGGCACACGGTACTCACAGTTTATCCTCCTCGAGCTCATAATCCAAGTCTGCAAACATGGTCCCGGGAGTGCGGGCAGGCGGGCCAACCGCCCAGCTCGGCAGGGGCGCGGGGAACTGGACCCGGGAGAGAGACGAGGCAGGGTTTAGGGACGCGAAGCGCCGAGGCCAGCCGCCCCCCGCCCCTTCCCGGAGCGCGGCCCCCTCCCCGCCGCCGGCGTGGGGTGGGGGCGTCTCGGCGCGGGGTGGGGCGCGGCGGGTCTCACTAGGTACAGAGGAGAGTCCAGGCCAGAGCGATGGCCGCAGAGCCCAGAGCCCGCCCCGGGGCCTCCGGGCCCTTGCGAGCTGCCTCTGTCGCTCACCGGAAGAGTCGGTCCCTCAGCCGGGTCCCGGCCAGGCTGGCACCTGGACCCACCTGCCGTTCCACCTGGCGGCGGCCGCGACTGTCGCGTCACTTCCGGCGGGACACGGAAGTCCTGCCTGGCTTCCCTGGGTATCGGCCCCAGTCTCTGCAGACAAACCTCCCCTGCTCGGCCCCCAGGACTCTCGGAACCGGGACGGAGAACCAGCGTGGGCGGAAGCTCGCCGTTAGCACGAAAAAGCGGGAACGGGGGACGCTCCGGACGAGCCGACGGCGCCTAACCCCGCCCGCGCGCCGGCCGCCGCCGCCGCCATCTTGGGAAGGGCAAGGTCCTTCCCGGCGGGCTCCGCGGCGCGCAGGGGACCACGCCGGCCCGGCGGTTGCCGTAGCAACGGAAGCATCCCCGGGCGGGGGTTACCTCCAGCGGAGTCCGGCGGACCACAAACCCCGGGCCCTTCCGTTCCACAGCCGCACCGGCAGGTCCGAGCAAAGCCTGTCACTGGCCAGCGTCGGGGCCGGGAGGGCCCTCGGGGACCCCAGCCCCAGGCAGAGGGGGAAAGCGCCGCGCGCGGTTGAAAGAAGACTCAGCCCGTGGCCCCGACATCCCCGCCGCCTCACCCAGGGCTCTGAGGACTCTGCACACTGGCCCGGGAGCCGCGGGAGGTGTATGAAGTGGCCGTGTACCTCTGCTGTGCCTCAGTTTCCCCACATGGCTGAGGCGGGCTCCACGGAGGAGGCAGGCGGCATGGGGCCGGGCCTGTGCAGCGCCCTTCCGCAGCCGGGCTGGGCCACAGAGGAGGAAGAAATGGAGCAGCCCGGCTGACCACGAAGTCCAGGGCCTGTGGGACCCCCCCCCCGGGGGAGCCTGAGTCCCGCAGATGTACAGAACCCACCAGAGCAAGGGCCTGCCCTGCGCCCGCCACACCAGCCTCCCCGTGGATGGGGCTCTCGGCAGGTCTGAGCAGGCCCAGATGCCGCTGGGAGCTCCAGACGCCACGCCACCCAGGCCCCTCTCTGCCTGTGCCCCACCTCCCCCTTTCCCGGCTCTGCCCCATGGCGAGGGGCTGCGGCTCCTGGCCCCGGTGGTCTTCCCCCTTCATCACAGGGCCTGCGGGTCAGATCTTGGCAGAAGGCAAAGTGCTTCTCCTGCCTCTCTCCTGCCAGACGCCGTCCACCCCAGCACTCTCGGAGGCCACCGGCGGACATCACCGGGACACCCAGACGGGAATCCTCCGCTCCAGGATGTGCACCTGTTAGCGTGGAAACCGAGACCCCCCTGCATCTTTTTAGTGGAGGCAGTCAGTGGGAGCCTGTACGAACCCCCCGCCAGGGGCCAGGTTGCCACCGTAAATTTATTTGTCCACGGTGATGGAACTCGGTTGAGACACCCACCCACTTCCCGAGGCTGAGCCCAGCAGGTGCACAGACCCTCTCCCACTCGCCTCTCCCCTGCCGCTGCCCCCAAGCCCATCCCGCAGGTGGGTGACCCCTCACCCAGCCCCGCTGTGAACACTGGGACCCGTGTGATCCTGGGCAAACCCCAACCCCTCCCTGAGCCTGGGTCCCTCCCAGGTGGCCATCCTGGGGCTCCAGCCTCAGACGCTAGCCTCAAGAATGCCAAACGGGCCCTCTCCCACATTCCTGGGGGAGTGCTGCCACCTGGTGGCCGTTGCGAGAAATAACTCCTGGGGCACCGCAACCTCCCCACGCCCGCGGCTGGCTGGGGAGCCCTGGTCGGCCAGGCTGGGCTGCACCTGCCCCGCTCAGCCTTCAGCTGCGACTGTACCAGCACGATCTCACTGTTTGAGCCGCCATCCATCGTCGACGGCCCCTGTGAAGGTCAAGAACCGAGGGGTGAATCCGTGGGATTGGGTTCAGTTGGCCATTGGCAGAGACTTGGAGCTGGGGTCTTCAGCCCAGCATCTAAGAGTAATGATGGTGGTGGACGCTGGGCCCTGTGCTGCCCAGTTGCACACGCAGGCCTCCCAGCAGCCCGTAGAGGTGGGTCTGACGCCCTCATCCCTCTGAGCATGCTCACTAAGCACCTGCTACTCCAGGCCTAGGACACCTTGGGGAGGAGACTGGCAGGGGGCAGGCAGAGGGGCCAGCGGTGGGCGCTTCTAGAGGGGTCTCCGAGGATCCTGGCTTACAAAGGGGGGGGCCTGGGGATGGGGAGAGGAGAGGCGGCGGGATCACCTGGGGCCGAGTGTGTGCCCGCCACGTCTGTGTTTGCTTCCCAGCCGTCCTCGGGGGCGGGAACCTGCCCGTTGGACTCAGCCCTCCATCCCCAGCGTTGGCACTGGGCCGGTGTGGGCTAGTGTCCGTGCAAAGCTGTTGAATGTAGGAATCAGTGTGTCATGGAGAGTCGGGGGCTGACGTGGCTGGAGATAGCGGAGGCCTCGGAGTCGGCATCAGGACCCCAGGGAGGGCCCTGGTGGAGCTGACACTGTTGGCAGCAGGCAAAGCGGCAGGGAGGGGCCACACTGCAGGCCGGGGATCTGCAGGGGAGGCTGGGGAGGGCGTGCAGCGGGCACCCTCAGCCTGGAAGCCGCTCCTGGCTTTGATGGGGCCCTGGGCCTCACCTCCCCCGGGGGCGGGACAGCCCTCTCTCCTCTGGGCATGCTGGGATCTGAGTTTCCCCAGCCGCCCCCCAGCGGCTCTATTCCTGGCTCTGCTGGCCCCTGACCTCCCGTCCACCCCCTGGGTTAGGTCAGTGATGAAAGCGGGTGGGAGCCTCGGGGCAGGGGGACAGGGACAGTGCCCGATTGTTCCCGCCCCTGCAGCACAGAGGGACCGGCTCTTGGCTCTCTCCTCTCTCTCCCTGTGCCCACCCCCACCCCGTCTGTCTGGGTCAAGCGGGAAGTTAACACCCAGGCAGACACCAGACGCTCCCCCAGCCCCCAGGACCCTGAAGCAGCATCAGCCGGTGGCTCCCACTGGGGACGGAGCCTGGGAAGCTCAGAGCCCAGGGTGTGAAGCGGGGTCGGGGTCCTGGGGTGCCGGGCGCACGGGGAGGCGGTGTGGAGGGGGCGGACAGGTGCCGAGGGCCCCCCCCCCCTGCCTCTGCGGCCGTCACTGCGCCTAAGCGGCCCCCTCTGCGGGCACGCGCCCCTGCTCCTCCGGGGCCGCCTCTGCGGGCACGCGCCCCTGCTCCTCCGGGGCCCCCTCTGCGGGCACGCGCCCCTGCTCCTCCGGGGGCGCCTCTGCGGGCACGCGCCCCCTGCTCCTCCATGGCCCTCTCTGCGGGCACGCGCCCCTGCTCCTCCGTGGCCATCTCACGGTTCCCTCCCTGATTCTAGAACGAGGTTGGGGGCCGACGGGCACCGCACTGAAAGCAGACCTGAATTCGGGAGGAACACATTCGAGTGTGGAGGATGGCTTCCGGGCCCCTCTCTCCCCCTGCATTGATTCACGTCCTTTTCTTTTATTTCTTAAGGACATTGTAAAATGCGCAGAAGCAGAAGCAGACACCGGCACTCTGTGAAAACGATTTTTATTTGAGAGGCAGAGACCGGGGCCTGCCCATCCGCCCTCCGTAGCCCTGGGCCCGGCTGGGAGCCCAAGAGCAGAGCCAGCAACTCCGGCGGGGCTCCCGTGTGGGAGGCAGGAACCCGAGTACTTGAGCCGTCGCCTGCTGCATCCTAGCGCGGACGTTAGCAGGAAGCTGGAGTCGGGAGCCAGAAGAGAGGGAGCCAGAAACCCTCCGGCCACTGGCTCACTCCCCAGATGGCCACAGCGCCCAGGGCTGGGCCGATCGGAAGCTGGGAGCCGGGAGCTTGTTCCGGGTCTCCACGCGGGTGCAGGGGCCCAGGCACGTGGGCCGCTTTCCCGGGTGCTCCCAGGGTGGCTGTGCCTCGGGAGTGTTTCACAGCTACCTGGGTGACAGGTGATCCCACTGTTGCCGTGGCTGGGGGTGGGGTGTGTGCGTGTGAGAAACTGTATCTTGTGGGCTTGATGTTCACCCACCCAGTTGCTTTTACTGAGACATAATTTACAGGCCACAGAAGCGCACATTCTCGGGCGTCCAGTTCAGCCGCTTTCCAGTCCTTTCACACGCTGTCATCACCACTGATCCCAGAGCTTTGCCAGCATCCACATGCCCCTCCCGGCCCGGGCAACACGTCGACTTCCTGTCTCGGTGGACAATTCACATCCCCGAGTCCCTTATCTGTGGCCTTTTGTGTCGCTTCCTTCATTTTCCTCCAAGCTCCAATTAACTTTTGATCCTGATTGATGAGGGGTAGCCTCTCTCTGCTGAGTTTCTTTCCTAGTTCTAATGATTTCCCTGGGGATTATTTGTTTTTAAAAGGACTTAGTTATTTGAAGTCAAAGTTACAGAGAAGGAGAGAGATCTTCCATCCGCTGGTTCATGCCCCAAATGGCAGCAATGACCAGGGCTGGGCCAGGCCAAAGCCAGGAGTAGGAGCTTCTTCCGGGTCTCCCACACAGGTGCAGGGGCCCAAGGACTTGGGCCACCCTCTACTGCTGTCCCAGGCCATAGCAGAGAGCTGGATCAGAAGTGGAGCAGCCGGGACTGGAACCGGCGCCCACATGGGATGCTGGCGTCACACCTGGCCCCAGGTTGTGTGGGTTTGCTATGTGGACAGTGAACCCCCCTGCACAGAAGGCCACTTTGCTTCTTCCTGCTTGGCCCTTACTCTCTGTTCCGTCTCGATTTTGCGTCCCTATCCCAAGCTTGCACAACCACAGCCATTTTCATCCTAAGGCGATGCCGAAACCCGTTCCCAGCACCAAGCTGAGCACGGTGAAGGTCACCAAGCCATTTCCCAGCGTGCGCTCCCTGGCCTGGCGCGGCCCCCGGGGGGCGAGGACACACCCTTTTCCACACACAGCTGAGCCTGCTTCCCCCACCCCCCGGCCCCGGCCCTGGGGCTGGCCCAGTCATCCTGGGGTCCCAATGCCTCACAGGCTCTGCCCCTCCCACACATGCCGCTCTGCCCGGCACCGGTGCGGAGAGGCGCCCCCGAAGGTGGCAGAGTGTGGGAGGCTCCGCCAGGCCCCCGTGCAGTCCCAGGGGGCGAAGGCTGGAGACACTGGCCACCCGCCCCCCCGCCGGCCCTGGCCCTCGATGAAAAGGGCCTGAAAAGGGCCGCTGAGCAGAAGTCCTCCCCTCCCGCCCCTCCCTCCCCTGCCAGCCCCCCACACCCAGCCCTCCAGAGGAAGTGGCTAAAAGGGGGCTGAGGTCAAGGGTTAATGATGCCATTGTGCTGGGGCTGACGGATGGCCGGGAGCTCCCCTTCCCCCCACGCCACCGATGGGGGCCTGGTCTCT